CCACCCCACCCCACCCCTACCCCCACTCCCAATTCAAATCCAAAATCTACACCAACCACCTCCATCGTCGCCGCCACCGTCACGGTCACCTCCACCTCCATATCACTCTAAAAAGGGCCTATACCTAGATCCATATATACAATTCTTCTATTTGTATAAATTTGAATCATATATTCTTCATCTTTATCTGGTGAATGCCAAAAGCAGAGAGGACGCTGAGGCTATGGTGTTTTAAGGTTGAAATTTATAAAAAAAAAAAAAATCAGAAAAAGGTGAAAAAAATTAGAAAGAGGCTATAATCCAAGCTAATTAAGCATCTCTCCAAGAAGGGAACAACCACCAGAAGGACAGATTTGCTTTCTTTAGCTCCATCGTTGCTTTTTCCCCATTTTCTTTATCTCTTCCCTTCACCTTGGGCCTATTTTCAAGAATTTAATCACGACCCAACTCACAAATCCTCAATCTTTTCACTCTTACTTTTCTTTTGCTTTTTTTTTTTTCATTGAAGCACCAACAATTATACTTCACGTAAGCATCACCGAGGCAAAATTTTCTGAATTTTTATTCATTTCTCTACACATACTTGTAAAGTTTTCAACTTTAGGTTTATACAGATAGAAGAATTGTATGTATAGATCTAAGTTTAGGCCCCTTTTTAGAGTGATACTAAGGTAGCGGTGGAGGCGGCGGCGGCGGCGGCTGATGTGGATTTTGGTTTTGAGGTGGGGGTGGGGTGAGAGGAAGAAGACAAGGGTTGTGTTTTTTTATTTCTCATTTTTTAATTTAATTATTTATTTAATGTGATAAATGAAATTTTAATCTTTTACCCTTTTTTAAAATATTTAAAATGTGGTCAAAATTAAATTTTTGGTCAACTAACGAATTTGTGGATGGAAACCGTCCAAAAGGACTTCACCTGCAACGTTTAGAAAGGTTAGAGGTGAAAGATGCAATAAATCAAAAATTTGAAAAAAGTCTACTAATATTTCAAACGTTTGGAACTTCTGCTGCAATTTTTCCTAATCTAGAAGGGGCAAATGAAACATTTTAGCTCAAGAAAAACCAGCTATATGTATGAAAAACCTTCATATTCACAAGAATCCATCGAACTCTACAAGCAAGAAACCCTTGTAGACCACAATATGATCATAGAAGTAACTCCTCCTTCCCACCTCTTCATTGAAGGCGGAGACACCGCCAGTAGCGGAGGTGATGACACAACTCCAACTCCCACCGCCACCGCCACCAATAGCAACTCAACCAATCCACCATCATTTTACGACCCAAAAATGGGTCCCAAAAAAAAGGGTCGAGTCACGGGCTCTAGAAGAGACCCGGACCCTCATATCCCTCCGTAGAGAAATTGATACTTTGTTCAATACATCGAAATCCAACAAGCATTTGTGGGGCCAGATTTCTTTGATAATGAGGGGAAAAAGGGTTTGATAGATCATTCAGTATGTGTACTGATAAGTGGAGGAATTTATTGAAGGAATTCAAGAAATCAAGATAAGAACGGAAATGGGTCTGCTAAAATGTCTTATTATAAGGAGATTGAGGAGATTTTGAGGGAGATGAATAAGAATGAAGCTAGTAGTTATAGGAGTACCACACTTCCTGATAATGCTTCTGGTGATTCCAAAACTGACTCCTTTATGCATTTTGCTGATAAAGGTGTAAGTATTATGCCCTAGGTCTAATCGACTTTGGACATAAATACTTTTATATATAATTAATGCAATTAAATGGCAGATCTATTATTTAATTAATAGACAATCAAATAAATAATAGAGTCCGTAGATTCAAATATTTTAATTTGTTAATCACAAGGAGTTGTGATTGTGAGATACAAATTACATCTGATTGAATCTTAAATCATCCGTGGTCGTAAGTAATAACGAGATACGGATATCGTTATTACGGATAGACCATCACGTGTGGCATTTCTTACTTGTGAAGTAAGTAGCTGATCTCACAAGTTAAAGTGTGGTAACACTTAAATGAACACGTGGA